CATTGCATGAATTTATGCAGTTTTACCAAAAATATCAATTAAATCTGTCAAATCTGTTCAATGGAAAAAATTGAAAAAATTCATAGGTATTTCTATTTTTGGTCAAAGAATCTGCTACTGAAGTATGGCAGGCTAATTTCGGTACACCCTGTATATGTTTTTTGCTCATCAAATTCTAATTCATTCATAATTAGTGTATCCGTTGATTTCTTTCTCTACGTTGAATTGATTTTATTCTGAATAACGAAAATATTGGGGTATTTTCGATTGATAATCCTGTTTGGGTATACCACCTATTCCATAATGACAAGTCGTCGTCTTTCTTGAGTGAACAAAATGACAAAATCGATATTATCCATTCGAATGACTATTTCTACAAACTTGTCCTATCTAATATCTTTCAGAATGTCGTAGACACTCCTTTTCCTTCAGAGAACATTCTTGGATATCAAACATTCTTTTGAAGAGCCGAATGGTTTCAGAAGTGAATAAATAGCAGGCAATTCTTTGTGTGCATATAATGTATTTATCTCGGTATTTATGTTCGGGAGATTTTATACCTACCTCCTCTAGATCTAGAATGCTGCTTTCAATAGTTTCAATGGCATATAAGTATACAGGTTCGTTGATCAGCCTTACTGGCCTTATAGAAAAAAAAATTAACTACAACCAGCCTTACGGGTTTGTGGGTTCTTTCAAGAAAACGCGGTTCACTTGTTCGTGCTATTATTATTATTATAACTACTGGAGGGCAGTGTTGCCATATGACTTGTTATTTGCTTAATTACTTTTCGCGCTTCTCAACCATATTCATTTTGCATGCAGTAAGTTTATTGAATTTTCTTCAGGAAACGAACGGATTTTCTCACTATTGTGCCCAAGAATTAGAATAGTAGGTATTTTCAAATCGGTAAAATATACAGTCCATGAAGCCTTCCAGGCAAACTTGATGATAAAATTGATACTTATGATGAATCAGGTATTTGTGAGATGGATTATTGTAATAACTGCAACATTGAATATATTTGGCAAACACGTCGAAACACGAGTCGAAACATTGGCACAAGATTCAAAGAACATATCCGACACTTAAGATTTAAATGGTTTGATGATTCGAGTGTTGCCCAAACAAGTAGAAACGTAACAAATAATGGAGAAAAAAACAGTTCGGAAAGTATTCACATTACTCGGAATATCATTTAGTGAATGAATATTTAGGACCCCAGGAACGTTTTGATCTTCTTCAAAACGCGATGTTCATTGAACTCAAACCGCAATCTGAACCTTGAAATAATTGTTTATGAGTATAGGATATTGCCAAGTTCATCTACAATCATCTCGCTAAGAATTTCTTGATATTATCCCAATCTTTATTTCCTTTTCAGTCCTACTGAGGATAGCAACTCAGTTGCCGAAACACGCAGTCAGGTTTTTAAATATTTATGTGGAATATTGTGCATACAAGGTGATTCATTAAAAAAGGGCAATCTCTGAACTAAACAGTGAGATTTAGTTAGTATACACCAAAATATTGAGATTTAGCCTAACATGTCTTATAAAAATGTTGGTAGTTTTGGAGATACAGGGTGTCAAAGATAACTTCGTAGGTTTTAACAGCATGAAAATTGTTTTTGTAATTTCTGGTTTTCTGACATGAGAAATACGAATTTGTAACTTATTTTGTGACTTCAACAAATTACATCATATATTCTTCGTCTATTGAATAATGGTTTAAATAAGTTGAAAATCTGAAAGTTTGTTCAATTTTACTTAAAGAATGTACTCCTCTTCGAATTGTCCAGCTCTAACGGTTTTTGTGTTTTTGGCTCTTGAAAAGATATGATGTGTTTCAGTTATACAATTTTTATCATTTCAAATCATGAAGTTTGCGGAGTGACACTGAAAATAAAAGACAGTAATTGATAATGACAATCACTGATAACACCACCAACACCAACAACCAAAAGTACAAAGTAAATGTTGGACCAAAGTTATTGAGAAATTTTAAAATAAAATTTTCTCCATGAACACCCTGTATAAACATATCTATAAGGCATGCTATAGGCCAAATCGTCATATTTCTTTGGTGTTTACTATCTGTAGTTCACAGATTTTGCTTATATTTTTAATGAATCACCTTGTATTTTGTATTTGTTCCCTATTGAGAGAATTCTTGTCTGTTGTCATTCAAGCAAGCAAATCCCAATAATAATTCTAATGATTTCTGAGACTCCCTCCTATTCATAATTGATATTAATCAATGGTAGTTTGAATAAAAAATTGTGAAGGCAAACACGATATCAATTCATAGGGGTGCTTTATTCTTTTCTCACTGTTCATGGCCCACTAAATTAAGCTATTGTATCATCGATTGTGATTAAGTGGCTACAATTGGAATACAGTATATTTTCCTGTTTAGCGACCTATTAGATTTCTGATTCATCAACATGAATGAGTTTGTTCTCTGAAGAATAACCATTCATAAAATAATCGACACTACACATAAAGAAGATTTGATATCATCAACCAAACGGGTTCTGTAACGGATTCAACGAAACATTATTTCAGTATAACAGAATTCTTAATTTTATCTTCTGCAACTTTTTTTCAATGTATGCAAGTTTCAAGTAATGATTTTCAACTGGAGTCTAGCCATAGCACCAGAGCGAGGAAATATTGCGCCTCGCGCGCTGCTCGCTGGGCTCGAGAAACTGAAAATTTCCGGCCAATCCAGAGAAGAAACATAAGTGAAATAGCGAATCACTATCGGCCTAACCAATAAATTGTTCTAAAATTGTTCTATCCGTCATTCGGTTGCCCCCTTACGAGCAACCCTCAGAAGTCTTCGAGAGTCTTGTGCGAGCAAGGAATGACGGGGGCCTTACCTTTTAACGTGTGATCCCAAACACTTTCTTGGGCCATCAGAAAAATTTCTGCAGTCGACGGGGATCGAACCCACGACCGGCAAGCGAATGCGAATTAGAATATAGACACTCTGTCCGCACGGCTACCTGGCCTCCATAGTATTTTTTCGATTAATTACTTGAAGAAAAAATAAAAAAAAAAGATTACTGGTGTAGGGATCGAACCCCGGTCTTTTCGTTGTTCGGATGAAGGAACACTACTCTAATGACCACTACGCTTCTGGCAAAACAAAATACAAAACAATTTTATACGTTTTTGACTTGCCACCGTGTAGTGGTGCTATGGTTAGGCTATAATTGATTTTCATGTGTAGATGATTTAGAACGATTAGTGAATGCATTCAAATTGGTTCTGGTTGAAATTTGACAAAAATTATACCGCGGAAAAAATTGCAAACTTTTCCCTCACATGTAGGAAGACCTGAAGCTAGGTATATTAACTAAACATTTCATTTACCAGCACACGTGGCGTCCCATGTAACAAACTGTAGCATAATACATAAAATAATATTCCCTGTATAAAATTATGCTTCTGTTGCGATTTTGATAACAATTGATAACATATACTTACAGTGAAATTATTATCAAAAAACGAAAATAAAAATTCTACTTTGACGCCCTGTATCTTTTTCCCCAGCAATATTTTATCAAGGCATATTCCATCCTATCGCCATATTTTCGTCCAAACAATCCATCCTCAGACTATGTCCCAATAGTTATGACTCACCCTGTATAATGAAAATGGAAAGTAAAATGTATTCTTGATAACGTTGGTAACAAAAATAACAAAACAAAAGAACATAAATCAGTCTTCTGTGATAAAATAACGAAAATAAATAATCAAATCAAATTTCATGATTTTTTTCGTAGTTTTATATTTCTTATCTATTCTACACCTAATTGCCCTTGTTGAGGTGAATGGATATGTCCCGAAGAGCTTCAGCGGTACTTCAAAATTATTGAAGTATTGTGGACCACCCGTTGGGGCCAGATATATAGATCAAGGGCAAACTTGAAAAATTTCATTTAATTTCAATAGATTTAACTGGGTTATTCTCTAGAATTCTCCCAATATACCAGGTATCATGGTTTAGGCCACAGCATCGTACCCTGGATAGTTCAAAATATTATTATCTACTACAGCTGCATCCATACGAATCGTCCCAGATACTCTTCAGAGAGCAATATTTTCAATAATCAGAAGAGCAAGAATATGTAGTGAAGCAGCGGGGACATTAATATTTTTGAACTCAAACTTCAATTAAATTTGAGCAGGCAATAATTTTTTTACTTTATTCAAAATTCTCTTCGGTTTTCTGCAACACATTGTGTTAAATTTCAATATTGCTCATTATTCTCTCCTTCAACTATAGAGTTTTGGACACTTTCGACTTGAAATTGTTCAAGGAATATACCCTTAAGCTATGGGAATCGAGTCACGGGACACCCTGTATAAGGTTCAGTTGTTTCCGATGAATTTTTCAATCATAAACGTGAAAGAGTTTGTTCTATGAAAAAAAAATTCATGAAACATGTAACACTGATAAAGTAACGCAATCTATGACGAGGAATAATTTGTATGAAAAAAATACTAATTTTCCAGAACGTTATCTCTTATTCACTGGAGTGGCAAGTTTTCGATAACCTATATATATAGGTATGTATGGTTTTTCTAGTTTGACAGAAAATATTTCAATTCCCAATTAGATGGTTATACAGTATATCTAATGAAGTTTGTAATGTATAGGTGAATTTTTTTCTTATCTTTTGAAGTAAATTCTTATATTATATATATATATATATCGTGTATTCGTCTATCGTGTAGACGCAGATATTCGCACTCCCACAAAAACAACAATTTAAGTAGTTTATCATATAGCTAACTTCTCGAAATTTTCAATAGAAAAAGGACATAGTGCAAGTGATCAGTGGTGACAAGGACATATCCATATGCATTCCAGATCCTGTGGAAACAGTGAGTTAATAATTTAACCTATATATATTCAGAAACACTGTCACATCCAGTACGTTGTGAACCGTTAACACCAATGGTCGAGTGGATATAAAATATCAAATATGACCGCGGCATTATCAAATGAACAAGCCCAAATTTATGAACTTTTATTAAGAGCAAATAAAGAACAAACACAAGAAATTAAGTCAGAAATTCAGGATACTATAAAAACATTAACAAACAAACTAGATGAAGCAAATACCGAAATAAAATACCTGAAAGATCGATGTGTTAACTTGGAAAGGAAAGCGAGAAGAAACAATATTATCCTATTCGGAATAAAAGTAGAAGACAATAGTGAGTTAGTCCCCACTGTTCTTCAAACTTTAAATGAAATATTGGAAATCGAGATCAAAGTATCAGATATCAATAATATTTATAAAATTGGGAGAACTGAAAACGCACCAGTAATCGTAGAATTTATTTCCTACATAAAAAAAAGTTCATTATTCGCCAATAAACAAAAGCTGAAACTACTAAATGTGAATGGACTATCAATTGCGAATGATCTATGCGAAGAGGATAGGGAAGAACAGAAGATACTACTCAAACATCGCAGAATTGCATTGGAACAAAATGATGAAGCCAAGATCAAAGGGAGAAAACTTTATGTAAACAACCAACCATTTACCTCAGAGGAATTGAAAAATTTGGAGAATAAAACTGAAACCGAAAACTTCACTGAAGATAGTAACTCAGAAGAAGAAGAAGGAGAAGACCAGGAAGAAGAAAAGCGTGATCAAGGAACTCAATCAGGAATAGTTACAACAAATAAAAATCTTGGAAAAGCAAACGATAAGAATAAACAACCTTTGGCGCAATCATCCAATACCCAGCAAACGCTATCAACCCAAAAGAGAAAACGTAGGAAGCTCTTCAAGTATAGCCCAAAAAACACGCGAAGCAATAAAAAATAATCAGTGATACTTAGTTGTTTGGCACCTCACTTACTTCAATTAATTTAAATATACTAGAGTTTTTTTTTCATTTCTTTTTCTTTCTTCAATTTCTTTTTCATACCTTTACCGTAAATAAAATCCACATCATCAGTATAATCAGGAATATCACTTAGGTAATATGAATAATTATATTAGAGACTTTGATATTTTCGAGATCGATACAAAGGAAGCTCATAACATGGAGCAATTGAAACAATACTTGAATACAAATGAACAAAAATCTTTCACGATGTTTCACACCAATATACGAAGTGTTCAAAAAAATTTCACGGAACTCGAAGTACTCTTGAATGAAATAAAAGACCAATTTGACGTAATCATACTCACGGAGACATGGAGACTTTACAACCCGGAGTTATTCACTCTGAAAAACTATAGAAAAATTTATAATGAAGGGAACATTAACCAAAACGACGGAGTCCTTGTATATGTAAAAAATATATTTGAAATACAATCCGAAATACATTCAATAGCAGGAATTAACATGATTAGATTAACATTGAGAGTGGATAACAAAAATACGTCAATAACTGCTATATATAAACCCCATCCAATTGACACAAATACTTTCATTGATGAATTGTCAAATTACGTGTCAACCATCGCAAAGAACGATACTGAGATTTTTATTGGAGATATGAATATAAACATACTCAGTGACTCAATTGAAACACATGAATATTTAAACGTTTTGTACGAAAATGGATTCAAATCACTTATAAATAAACCCACCAGAATAGATAAAATCTCTTCGTCTTGTATAGACCATATATTTTTCAAGAGTAAATTCATTGATGATAATACATTAACACCAATAATCCTTCATTCGAAAATATCAGACCATTTCCCACTCATCCTGAAATATGATATCCTCAATAATAAACGACAACATATAATAAGCAAACAATATACAGATTATTTTAAATTGAAAAACTTGATTAGGCAAGAAAATTTCGATGACATCTACACTAATAATGATATCCAACATATAACGGATTGTATATCTACTATTATAAAAAATAACATAGAAAAATGTACGACAACAAAAACAACAGTAGAGAAACACAAAAAAAAAGCATGGATAACACGTGGCCTTATAATATCCATGAAAGAAAGAGACAAACTATATAAAGCATATAAACGAGATAAAGACTTAAATATATATAATGAATACAAAAACCATAGGAATAAGATAGTGAAACTGATGACAGAACTAAAACAAAAATATTATAAAAATATAATAATCGAAAACCAAAATAACAACAAAAAGATATGGCAAACAGTAAATGAATACAGCAACAGAAATGTATCGAAACAAACTAATGATATCACAGAAATCCTAGATCATAACAATATAATTGAGAAGGACCTGAGAAATATAGTCCATATATTCAATGAACACTATACAACTGTTGGTGAAAAAATGGCCCATGACATTATGCAAGCAAGCACACCTGATAAACAATCGAGAAGAAATAAACTTAACACATTAAACTCGATATTTTTGAAACCTGTTGATGAAATTGAAGTGAAAAATATCATATCCTCTATGAAAAATGACTCTACTCCTGGTTTTGATAATATCACAACTGTAGCCTTGAAAGAAATAAGAGACTTCATTGCGAAACCGCTATGTCATTTGATAAACATTATGTTCACTGAAGGAAAATGTCCAAACCAATTTAAAATCTCCATAGTTAAGCCTATTTTCAAACATGGAAACCGAAATGACCCAAAAAACTATCGCCCAATTAGTATTATTTCAAACCTAAGTAAAATATTCGAGAAGGCTCTGAAGCAACGATTGGTGAATTTCTTAGAAACAAATAAATTATTATCCAACTTCCAATTCGGGTTCAGAAACGGGAAATCTACCAACGATGCAATAGCTTCATTAGTGGATCAAATTTACACAAGTTTGGATCGAAGCAGGCCTTGTGCAGGGATCTTTATCGACCTTGCAAAAGCCTTCGATACCGTTAGTCATGACATGTTGTTATCAAAGTTATATGATATAGGTATTCGTGGTCCAGCACTCTCGCTCCTTCGAAGTTATCTGGAAAAAAGAACCCAAATGGTTGAAATAAAAAACACAAAGAGTAGACCAAGAGAGATAACGTTTGGAATACCACAAGGAACAGTATTGGGACCAATTTTATTTATTGTTTACTTAAATGAACTTCTCACCATAAAGTGCCATGGTAAAATAATTTCATTCGCTGACGATACCGTCCTTTTCCTGGAGGGAACCTCTTGGGCTGACGTAGAAAGACAGCTGAAAGAAGATCTGGAAAAAATAATTAAATGGTTTGATGAGAACCTTCTCACAATCAATATTGATAAAACTGTGTACTTACCCTTCTCAAATTATAAAAGCACCTTACCAAGCACTCCTCATTTGCATATATACCTACCATTCAGAAAAAACACGTATATTATTCAGAGAGCAACTAGTATCAAATACTTAGGAATTATGATTGATAATAACTTGAAATGGGATATTCAAATACAGAATCTAACAAAGAAAATAAGATCGTTGATGTATTTATTCAAACAGATGACGTACATACTTGATGAAAAAAATCTAAAAACCATGTATTTCAGTTTAGTGCAATCGCATCTGATTTATGGTATAATTGGATGGGGTGGTGCGTATAATAACACTATGAAACCATTAGAAATTGCACAAAAAAAAGTTATCAAGATAATCTACAAACTCAACCCACTATTTTCGTCACATTTGCTCTTTCAAAATACAGCACTATTGAACATCAGACAATTATTTTACAAAAATTCATTATTACAACTGGTTAAAAATAATTTAATAAATACTACCAACTCACAGCATGCTCATTCAACACGCTTTAGAGACAATTCTAATATAATCCTTCCTAGATCTCAAAAATCAATTGGGCAACGACGCTTTTCATACATTGGTCAGAAATTATATAACCATCTACCAATGAGTTTGAAAAAAGAAATCTACATCAAGACTTTCAAGTCAAAAATAACACATTGGTTATCAACTTCAACCGTGACTATATTATAGATACATCTGAGACAGTTCCTCATATTTATATAGTTCATAAATTATATATTTGGAAACTTTAGGAATATGTTAATTGCTCTAAATCAATCTCGAAAATATCTATCTTCAATTATTCATTCATCAACTCATCAGGAGTACATTCTTTATGTTATTTTTTCATTTTTTCTCCTTCTTTATATTATTGAATCATCATAAGAAAAATATATATACCGATCTGAATATATGTATAGATTTGTCTGAGTTACACAGACTAGCTTAGGCTAAAGTGTACTTGGGCATGGCATCATGTATAATACCCTTTAACATCTTTCTTTTAGGATCAAGTATTCTTGATATTTATTCGCAATAATTGTATATCTGAGATACTTTATGTAGAAATGAGAATAAATATTATTATTATTATTATTATTATTATATATATATATATATATGTTTTTGTACCAAGTCGAGATCCGAATAAATTATGGACAACCCGAGATCCACCACAACAGAAGGACTTCGTTGAGTATGTATTTCACAAATAGTTGCCAAACATCTTCTTCAAACCAAAACCCTAGAGAGGGGAAGAGATTTTTCAATTTGAATTTTTGTGATACTATTCAAACAATGAGAGATCCTATACGAATTCATGCAAGTTGAGATCCGGAAATGTATATTTTGATATTTAATACACGAGATGAGATCCTGCAATGTTGTCAGATCTGATGTTCGAGGAATGGACACGAACATCTATATTTCTGAATCTATTTTATATTTCCATCACGCACACATGTTGAAATTTCATCATTTCTATAGCAAAATAAATATTTCTGAAGATCATGGCGGCGTGATGCGGCACCCTATTGCTGACAATGAACTGAAATCACATGTAGGGATGAGCGACAGCTTTTTCGAAAGTATTAAAAGCCTGTTCGATAGTATTCAACCAGAAAATCAATACATACAGTGGCACATCATTTAATGAAAAATCTTCCACTTTCTAGCATTCAGACCAATCAAATCGTTCAATCTGATTTTGAGGAGAGTTTACTATTTTTCATCTCTTGGAGCGCACGAAAGCAAATCTCTTTTATGTTCGAGGACCATCGTGCGTACTCAGGGAGAATTGAGGGAGAAGGTAGATATTGGAATTTTCTTTGAGCCTCTGAGGATAATAAGTTCTTGAGAATATACTTTCTGTTGTGAAGAATTCGAAAGACTTGCCTTTCTATTGACAAACGAGTTCCGATAAAGAATTGTTCGGTATATTCCGAGGATAACGACAAAAAAATGTGCTGATTGAGCTCATCGAGTACGTCTAACTGGTTTTGCGAGTGAAAGAAATTTCTGAAGAACATTTTTCGTGAGAGTATCATTAAAGAAGTGTAAGGTTACCGACTTCCTTATGGTGTTACGATAGTGTCATAGAATCAGTGAGTGTGGCATCACCCATCAGACGGATGACTAGTCTCTGCATCGAAGATGAATCTAGCTGTATCAGCATATGTTAAGGTGCTGAATTTCATATGTGAAAAACATATTTCTGAAACGGGCCGTATCTGTGCTTTGTAGATCATCAGAAGCTGTCATGGTGTGAAGTTGAATTTCCTAATTTTGATGATATAAACATAATCTCCGACCCCAAGAACCCCCTTATAACAATTTTGAATAGAATCGGATCGTAATTACAAAACTCGTCCGCCATATCGGATCCGCTATCCCGTATTTCCTAATTTCAATGACAGAATCATAATCTCCGACCTCGAACACCTCCAGATATCAATTTTGAATAGAATCGGATCATATTCACGAAATTCCTCCGCCATATTGGATCTGCATTCTTGAATTTCCCGATTTTCACGGAATAGTCGTGATTTCCAACTCCTGAAACTCTCACGTACACATCTTGAATAGAATCGGATCATAATTA